CAGCAGGCAGACCTCCATAAAACTAAAACAAACAAGAACTAAATTTTCAGAAAACAAAACTTACTGTATCACATCTTTGGAATAATCTCCTAGCCACTGTCAAAGAAAGAACTTGAAGTTCACCTCACTAACAATGTCTATAATGTACACTGAATAACACAAGCAAAACTTAGTACACTTATAGAAACATCCTGTTATCATTTAGTCTTCTAGCAGAGACACGCACAAATATGTGAGCATAATCAAACAATAGCAACCAGTGGGTGGTTAATTTGCAACACATATCCTATTGTATTGCATTAGAATTGCAATTTCCAGCTTATTGTTATAATTTGATTATCATGTTTTTGATCATTCCTCTAATTTGTAATCAATCTTTTTGTTGTGTAGCGAACAAAGAAGCGAGACCAGACTCTGCACATTAGGAAAAATGATCAATTAAAATATAACTGAGTTAAAAATAAGTGGTACAACAATACACAACAATAATGATGGCTTTATAAAAGTGCTAATTTATTAATATTCCCACTAAAAACAAACAGAGATGAAAATGGAGCGCATTATTTAACTGCATGTGTACTTTTCTCAACCCAGTCCTGTTTCTTTTGAACTCGGCAGCAAATGCTACAAATTTATGCAACAAATGAATGTGGCTGCTTTCAAAATACTGCAATTCTGTACATCAAACAGGGGTGCATACATTAATTAGCATCCAGCTAATTACGGAACAACTGTATGTTTAAAAAGTTAAAGACAACAAACACTGTGTTTGACCAAAAACATTATCACTCCAGAGAGATGTACTGTATATTGCAATGCAAGACACAACACTGCATTTTTTAAAAGAATGGTGTTCCTTCTTATTAGAGACTATGTCTGAGAAAGCAGAGAAACCAATTCAGAGTCAGAGACTGATTTACTTACAGTGGTTCACATCCTCATACTGTTTACTACTGGCTGTTTGTGATGCAGTGACAACCTACTTATGGAAATTTAAAATGTTCTACCTCTGCTGCCCTTGTTACTCATTCTTCTACATAGTTAATTGAATCATTTGCCAGAAAGCATAACTGATCAGAGGTCATTCACACATTTAATTTTCTGACGAGAGACCATGAATGAGCAGGCAGGAGGTGAGTGTTTAGCTGAAGGATACTTTTCACAGAACACAAGGCTGCTGGCGCTTGTACTGTACCTTGTGAACTTAGTTACAGTTATTAAGTTAAGTGCTGTATGTCAGTGGCAGGTAACAACCAACATAAAATGGGCAGCATTAAATTTATTATTTTTTACACAATTTTAACATGTGAACTTACACATTATTTTTAGAACATTTCATGTAAATCAAAATAGAATGCCAGAAACTTTACAAACAATGGAGCCCATTTTAACCTGCCACAATATGATGCATAAAGATTTAAGCCATAATCACACATCGATTGACCCAGAATCTATGCTACAAGTTGACAGGTTTACATATTTTCTGAAGATACTTTACACATCCAAGTATTACTATACTGGAAACCTGCATCAGTGAAACAGCACATTTCAGCATATTTAACTGGTGAAAAGGTTATTTGCTTACTTTACTGGTAATTGAGTTATTGTATCAAGCAATAAACAGATAGCAATACAGGATAGTTGCTCAGCAGTTCTCAATTTGCAAATTTCCCCAATTTTATACTGCCCTATTTTATACATGCACCTCTAGGCACTACACAGCAGTGCCAAAACAAACAAATCCACAAAGTGCTCCACCTTTCTCTACCTCCACCTTCCTTTCTGTGTTATAAATGATTACAAATTCTCAGCAAACAATGCTTCTACAGTGTATTTACATCCCACCTCCACCCCCACCGACCCACAATCCCCCTT